ACAGGACAGGGTTGGAGAGCTTCTAGGGCATTCTCTATCTTGCACGTTGCAAAATGAAGCCAGTTACTGAAGGAGCCCAAGTCAAATTCAAAATGTCCTGAAAATTTAGATATTTCAATTCTTTTTCTACTCCAGTTAGGCTGGGCATAGTGTTCAGCATTTGAAAAAAACTTGCAAGCGAGGATAGCTGGCCCCGATTCTCCTGAAAAATGTCTTCCAAATGACTAACTCTATTTTGGAGTAACCCAAGTGGGGCACCCAGAGTAGAGTCAAAAGTCAAAACAGCTCTGAAGACTTGAAGGGAACAAATCTCCCCTGAAAACCTTAACAGGTTATAATATAAGGGGATGGACTGAAGTTGTTCAATGTCCTGTATTGCGTTGTTCGTTAAGGAGTTATGTCTTATTAAATCTTACTTGGTAAATGAATCCAAACTAGCTTGCATATGAACATTCGTGTGGGTTGAAAACTGGCTTGAGGACCATAAACAAAAGAAGCAAATGCCATCAATCTATCGAGTTGGAACAGGCATTTGGTGGGGGCATGGGGAGGAGAGCTAGAAACAGGCCTGCATAGTCTCCTCCTCGGGAATGGAACAAGGCAGTAAAGACCATGTTAGAGACACCTCCAGGTGATGCCAGACTAGGACCAGCTGCAGATTCCTGTGTGGGAAGGGAGAGTCCAAGCCTGGCTCTTTGCTCCAATGCACCATGTTTTCACTTGCATGACTAAATTGGCTTCATTCCTGTTTTGCACCAGCACGAGAACAAACTCGAGCACAACACGGAGCCCCTGGCCCCCCGTGCGCCCAGGGGATGGCACGGTCGTGGTACGATGACACTGTTTAGCTAGGGGCGTGGAGAGTTTGTCTGGGCACAGATTCTGCCTTGACAGCGTTCGTGCTTGAGAAATGAACCAGAGCAGGAGATCAAAGCGGGAGGCTGACGTGCTCAGTAAAGACCTGGCAAGGGGAAATTGCCACCGGGTTATGGACACACACGTTTGTCCTGTCCTGCCAATGGGCGATGTTCCTGCCTCCTAATGTGAATGATAAGGGCATCATCGTGTTGCCTGAGCACATGACATGAGCGATCATGCCCAACAAACAGCCTTTGGGCGTGCCATGGAAGCTGTAGCATGACCAAGAAGCCCAGGATACAGGAGGGGGTGGGAGCCTGTGGTAACTGAACTGAGCAGCCATGAGGTGATAAACCATGAGTTTGTTCCAACTTGGAGTGTATTGGGAATGCAGATCAAAGCCTGGAGGAATGTTCCCAGAAATCACAGGAGTGGGGAAGGGGCGGGGAAGAAGAATCTAAAATCCACCAAACACACGAGCTTTCCAAAGCAAGTCAGCCACCTCCAGCTCCCACCTTCCCTTCCACCTGCCCCTTCTCTCCCTCTTCCACCGGTCACTGTAAATCCAGAGATTTCCCTTTCTTCCAACACTACCTCTCTGTGTAAGGACATACACCTGAATCAAGTCTGCCTGTCCTAAAAAGAAACCTGACTACTCCTGGAGTACAGCTCATGTGTTGTGGACCGGACACTCATCCTCCTCTCCCCACCATGTGCTTAGTGCACAAGGGGATGCTGCCTCTCAGTCCTTCTTAGTGGGGTTATTTGCTTCAGTCTTCTCCACTGAAGGAGCAAACGAAGAGCTGCCTCAGGGGGAAGTCACACTGGCAGCATCGCTTCAAATGTTATTGTTCACTCTTAAACAGAAAGGAAGTGACCGTTTCCATGAATTTCCCATGGGAACTGGCTTCTGGAGGTATGTTCACTGGGTGCTTGTCTGCCAGGTTCAGAGATTTCTGGAGAGTTTGAGTGAGAGGAGCAGAGGGAACCAAGCACCAGAGAGGTTGCCAAGGGACCATGGACAGAGGAAGGGTCAACACAGAGGGCATCTTTTGTGTCTTGGGTCTCTTACATGAACAAGCCCAGGACCTAATGACATGGAAGTAGGCATCTCTTCCCAGTGGCCACTCCTTCTGCTGGACAGGACACCCCAAAAGACTCACCTGTTCCTGACCTGCTCTTGGAGAGCTGGAATAGCCGTGCTGGGACACCTGCCTACCACTCACAGCATCGTGTAGGCCCTGTCCTGGGGTACAGCAAACCTCCAAAGGCCTCACCTGCAGACCCTGTACACGGCTGGGCCATGCACTCCTCTAGGAAAGCGAAACCTCATCCTGTGCTCATGAACACAGACATCCCCCACCTCCCAGTCTCTGCATGTGTACAAATAAGCAGAACCCATCTTGGACCCCAACCGCACTGGCAATTGCCCTGGGAGGTGGACTGAGTGAAGGGGCTGTGGCTGGTACCTGTGGCTTGGCATGAAAGTCCATACTTCGTGGAGAGAAGCTGGGCTGCCCCGGCAGCAAGGAGGAGGTGAAGGTGGAATGAGAAGAGCCCAAGGCCAGGAGTGACCCGAGGACACAGTGGAGTCCCAGTGTGGCAGGGCCAGGGACAGAAGCACCAGCACCAGGGGGCACGGCTGCCTGTCCTGGGCTGGGGGATGCTTTGTGCCTCTAAATTCACTCAGAGATGGTGCCCAGTGAAACCAGGGCATCTCCCTCAAAGCTGTTTTTCCCCTGATGTTCTGTTTTGCCCATGGTGCTGAGATGCCAGGAGCTGGCTCAGCACACATTCCATCACACATAGGGCTCCCTGCCACCTTCTCCTGGGGCCAGAAGCCCCAGCCTGGGCTCTATCCAAGCCCCACACTCCTCTCCTGCTGATCCTGGAGGTCTCAGATCCATTTAGGGACCTGGCCAACCCTCAAACGCACCCAGGAAAGTGAACATCAAGGTGCAGAGCTGTCAGGAAATGAGTCGAAATGCACATTTAACCATGAATACTTGTATGCTGCTGCTGGTGAAGGCATAGGGGCAGACAGGAGCTCCAGGGAGGTGAGGACAGACAGCCCCTGCAGAGCAAGACATCTTGGTAGGACCATGGTGGGAGCAGGCTGAGGATGCCGTGCAGGAACACCTCTCCTCCAGGCACGCACTGAGTCCTGGACAACACTCCCTCCCATGTGGAAATCAGCAATCAAAAGGAGCAATTACCTCAAATCACAGCCCCCAAGTGACAAATAGCCCAGCCTGCCAGACGGCTTGCATACTGCAGAGAGGCAGGTTACAACCTGCTCACACACATTAAAGAGGCGACCCTGTGCTGTTTATGCTGTCGGAGGCCTAATTATGGGAGCAATTTTCTACAGATTCCCGAAGGGAGAGACAGCAGGGGAGAGAGCTCAGGCACCCGCACGTGCCTGCTCCACCACCAGCAAGTGTGGGTCCCCAAAACAGCCCAGATCCTTTCCATGACCTTTGCAGAGTCCTCACTGCAACACGCGCTGCTTCCAGCCTGGATTACACTGCTCGTCCTCAACACCTGTGTCCTTCACAGCCAAAATGTACCAAAAAAAATGAGTTTTGTCAATGTGGAATAAATACAACAAGCGTCTGTGCCTGACCTCTTGGGCCTGGTTTGGACTTTTAGGAAGAATGAAGATGAACCCAGACACAAATTATATTCACTGTCTCCTTTGGGAGATGCAATGTTCCACTCCAAGACAAGCAGACAAGAAGTTCCTTAGCCTGTGACTATGGAGAAGTCCAGCCTTGATCTCTATTTGACCACCTGGAGATCAGAAAGTAAAGCACAAATGCAGTAGTAATTTGGGATCTTAATCAGGTTGTTGAACCTGTCTTCTTTATTTCTGGCTGATGGGCACTGAGGCTTGCTCCAGATCTGTCCTCATGAGAGAAACAGGAGGAGAAGGAGATTCTCCTTAGGTCAAGCCTAGTCTCAAGAGTCTTGGACCTTACTCTTGGCTCCACCACAGGTCTCTCAGGACCACTGTCCTCGTCAGTGAAAGTGGTGGTGAAGTGATGCAGTTTCCAAGGTCAGTGAAAAATCCAAATACCTGTTAATGTCCCAGCCTTGCTAAAATTTGAGTGCTCTGGTCAGGTGATGCTGCACAATAGTGAATCCCACAGGTTTCCTTGAATAAATCCTTCCAGCAAGTTCTGAACATTGTCCCCTGGTCCTTGTGTTGTGTTTCCCAATGGCCACACTCTCCTTTGTGATGCTGCTCTTCACTTTTATCTTCCTTTCCCATCCCTTCACATTCACCTCTTTCCC